AGAGTCTGGGGAGATCAGATATAGTGAATGCAGGGTCCGGGGGGGACCGGATATAGTGAATGCGGGGTCCGGGAAGAGCGGGATATAGTGAATGCAGGGTCCGGGGAGAGCAGATGTAGTGAATGTAGGGTCTGGGGAGAATGGATAGTGTAATGCAGGGTACGGGGAAAACCAGATATAGTGAATGGAAGGTCCGGGAAGACCAGATATAGTGAATGCAGGGTCTGGGGAGAGCGGATATAGTGAATGCAGGGTCTGGGGAGATCAGATATAGTGAATGCAGGGTCTGAGGAGACCGGATACAGTGAATGCAGGGTCCGGGGAGAGCGGATATAGTGAATGCAGGGTCAGGGAGAGCGGATATAGTGAATGCAGGGTCCGGGGAGAGCGGATATAGTGAATGCAGGGTCCGGGGAGAGCGGATATAGTGAATGCAGGGTCCGGGGAGAGCGGATATAGTGAATGCAGGGTCCGGGGAGACCAGATATAGTGAATGCAGGGTCCGGGGAGAGCGATATAGTGAATGCAGGGTCCGGGGAGAGCGGATATAGTGAATGCAGGGTCCGGGGAGAGCGGATATAGTGAATGCAGGGTCCGGGGAGAGCGGATATAGTGAATGCAGGGTCCGAGGAGAGCGGATATAGTGAATGCAGGGTCCGGGGAGACTGCATTACAGAGGAGAGGGTTAGTGAATGCAGAGTCCGGGGAGAGCTTTGAGTGAATGCGGGTTCCGGGGAGAGCAGATTTCTTGAGGGGGGTCTGGGGAGGGAATTGGATATAGTAAATGCAGGGTACAGAAAAACCAGATATAGTTAATGGAATTCCGTGAACTCACAATTTCAATACAGTGACCTCTGCACTCTGTGGGTTGGGAGTGTAGCGGATATAGTGAATGCAGGGTCCGGGGAGAGCGGATATATGTGAATGCAGGGTCCGGGGGAGAGCGGATATACTGAATGCAGGGTACGGGGAGAGCGGATATACTGAATGCAGGGTCCGGGGAGAGCGGATATAGTGAATGCAGGGTCCGGGGAGAGCAGATATGTATGAATGCAGGGTCCGGGGGGACCAGATAATAGTGAATGCACTCTGTGGGGAGACCAGATATAGTTAATGCGGGGTCCGGGGAGAATGGATATAGGTTGTCAATACACCTTACCTCTGCACTCTGCGGGCTGGGAGTGTATGTTAGGAGTGTACAATATGCAGCGTTCAGAGGTCAGGAATATGTCATACCCTGAACACTGTATGTATGATATACAACCAGTATTGTTTTACCATATAAACACTTGTATACCCAACCAATTTGTATGGACTGACCATTCGATGGAAGACCATAAATTCTGACTGCTGCACTCTATAGTAAGCATTAATACTTCTGACCACTGCACTCTGTTGTATACTAGGTTGTACTTTAATACTCCTGACTGTAGCACCCTGCATGCTGAGCTGTACATTAAGTACTCTTGACCCTGCATATATACACTATGCTGTACATTACATTATGTGTTTGTGAGCCCCGCATAAAGTTGCTATATTGTACCCAACTATTTTGAAGAAGTTCTTAAGGTAGGCCAAGTCTATAATCTGCGTGTAAAAGGCATATGCAATGCAAGAGTTTAATATTTTTAAAGATTGTGCTGAGGTTTATACACTATATTGCCAAACGTACTGAGGCACCCATCCAAATCATGTGATTCAGGCGTTCCAATCACCTCCATGGCCACAGATGTATAAAATGAAGCCCCTAGGCATGCAGACTCTCTGGAGTGACCAATCACGCTTCTCTATCTGGCAATCCGATGGACATGTCTGGGTTTGGCGGTTGCCAGGAGAACGGTTCGTGCCTGACTGCATTGTGCCAAGTATAAAGTTTGGTGGAGGGGGGATTATGGGGTGGGGTTGTTTCTCAGGGGTTGGGCTTGGCCCCCTAGTTCTAGTGAAGGGAACTCTTAAGGCGTCAGCATACCAAGACATTTTGGACAATTTCATGCTCCCAACTTTGTGGGAAGAGTTTGGGGATGACCCCTTCCTGTTCCAGCATGACTGAGCACCAGTGCACAAAGCAAGGTCCATAAAGACATGGAGGAGCCAGTTTGGGGTGGAGGAACTTGACTGTCCTGCACAGAGTCCTGACCTCAACCCCATAGAACACCTTTGGGATGAATTAGAGCGGAGACTGTGAGCCAGGCCTCCTCCCCCGACATCAGTGCCTGACCTGACAAATGTGCTTCTGGAAGAATGGTCCAACCTTCCCATAGACACCCTCCTAAACCTTGTGGACGGCCTTCCCAGAAGAGATGAAGCTGTTATAGCTGCAAAGGGCGGGGCCAACTCAATATTGAAACCTACGGACTAAGACTGGGGGGACATTAAAGGTCATGTGCGTGGAAAGGCCGGCGGCCCAATACTTCTGGCAATATAGTGTATGTGTCTGTGAGACTCTTGCTTATGGCACAGCAATAAAGTATATCTATAGCCTAAACCTTTTTTGTTATGGATAGAGTTGGATGTGTTTAAAGCCCTGGCAGTCTTTTTATCTTTTGCTTTCTGCCTTCTTTTGAGAACATTTTTTTTACTCCTTTTCCTAGAGATGCAACAGGATGTGTCCACTAACCCCCCCCTTCAAAAAAAAATGCAGTTTACCAGTCCTTACCTGTGACGGTTGTATTACTTTTCTTTTTCTTAAGGCTTTTTTTCTCTTCCTTTCTGTCTGGTGATCCTACCAGTAATACATTTCCTGTCCTAGGGTGACAACTCTAGCTCATTATACTGTATCTGTGGAGAAATAGTGTTGTGACCCCCCCCTTTCCTCTTTTCCATAATCTATACGGGGGAGGGGGGGTTGTAGTTTTCAGATGTAACCTGAGCAAGGATGATAACACTGCAGACTACACAAGACAGTACTGGATTTGCGATAGTATAGTATAATATCAGTATTAATCAAGGAACAGGATTTTTAGAATGAAGTTAAAGTGCAAAATCAAAGGGTAGTAGGGAGGGGGGGGGGGAGGGGGGGGAATAGGAAAGGGGTGGGGTAAAAGGTCACCAAGATTAAGGAAATTTGCGGGGAATGTTATGATAGGTAGGTGGAATGTAATTTGTCTGTTTTATTGGCTTTTGTATATTTAAAAAGGTGATGTGAAAAATTCATAAAAAATATAAAAAAATAAAAAAGTGCTGGATTTGCGGCAGATATAATAAAACATTACAGATGGTATATTTAACCCCGTGCCCTCCAGAGGATTTACCCCCCCCTTCCTGACCAGGCCATTTTTTGCGACACGGCGCTGCACTACTTTAACTGACAATTGCGCGCGGTCATGCAACGCTGTACATAAATGAAATTAATATGTTGTTTACACACAGGTCTCTCCCCTGTCAGTGATATTTGGCGATCGCCAGGTGCCAGCGGGGACTCTCCGGCCGGGACCCAGTGATCGACATCTGTAGCCACCAATGGTGGCGCGGTAGGGTGGCGCGCATGCGTGCTCCCTACCTGGAAATGCAAATCTTATATTATATATTTAATTGGGGTATCCAGCGCCATAATATTATGTATATCTGATCTGAGGTGCTGATTTTGCAGCCGCCCTTTGTAATAGCAGTAGGCTATAGGGTGTGATCAGGAAGCGGTTAATATCAGGAAGATTTGTATTTAGGCCGGAGTAGGACACGGTGGAGGGTTTGTCCTTCCCGCCATGTATATAAATATTGGGTAGTATAAAATGATACGGACATCTGTTTTTCCTATAAGTGAATCAGATTCCTATTTTTATTCCCTGACCTTTTACTAGAAATACAACACCAGGAATCTGATTGGCTGATAACAGCAACACAGAAAATGTTGGTTATGTGTTATAGGGAAAAATAAATTGCCATCAGACGATGGAGCGACGAGGAGGCAATACATACAGATGTACAGATCATACTTAAAGCGAATCTCTTGGCAAAACCGTTTTGTTAGTTGTAGATAGGATGGGGAAGACGCTTTGTTACATTTTTAATTCTGTCTGTGTCCCCATTGTGGAGATTCGCCTGTCTATCTGTACTGGCGACCATTGTCACTGGAAAAGAAAATGAGGCGAAATACAACATTTTAGAGTTGTCCACCAAAGCAAGAGAATTCATCAATTGGGATCCCCCGCCTCTCGGGGGATCAGGAAGGAATTGTTTCCCCTGCAGGAGCAAATTGGATCATGCTTTGATGGGTTTTTTTTTGCCTTCCTCTGGATCAACTGTGGGTGTAGGGTTATAACTTTTTTTTTAATGGTTGAACTGGATGGACTTTTGTCTTTTTTCAGCCAGACTAACTATGTAACTATTGGAATATCAGTTCTGGTGACAACTATTTAGGAGACATATTGCCTCACTATGGCAATAGTGCCATTGAGGCACTTCTATTGCTTTCTATTGGGTTACTGAGATAGGAAGTGAAGCGAAATTTCCCCAATGGTGCACAAATGAAAAAAAAAAGAACTTGTCAGGGGCTTTACCTCTTTCCTACTCTAATCTAATTAAAACAAAGAGCTGATAGCACATGTGGAATGGAAAAAGTCAGCGGGATTAGCAGACAATATGTTTTAGGGACCAGGCTTGAGAATGGGGGGGGGGGGGGGCAGTGTCCCTGAAACACCTTTCCTGCTATTCCCATTGAGTGCCAGGTCAGGTATATGCGGATTGGATGTGGTATGAACCGCATCCAATCCACATGACATGTGACATAACATTGCTTCCTATGGTGCCTGTCCACATAGGTCCGGTGCACTGGCGGTTTTAGTGCGGATTGAAAAAGAGTCCTGCCTGATTTCTGAGCAGTGCAGTCCGGTTCCGGTGTAGATTACAGGACTATTGACTTCTATGGGAATCGCTTAACTGCTTTCCCGCCGCCCAATAGCAGAAATACTGCTACAAGGAGGCAGGGCTGTGCAAAATCACATATATATGTGATTTTGCATTTCCACGTAGGGGGTGCCACCATTGGCGGCTTCAGCTGTTGATCACCGGGTCCTGGCCAGTGATTCCCACTAGCACCTGGCGATTGCCGAGTATCACTTGCAGGGGAGAGACCTGTGTGTAAACAAAACAGTTCTCTCCCCTGTCAGCTCCTGCACATTGTTTTGTATTGCTGTGCATAGCAGAACAATACAAAGCAATGTGCTGACACAGTGAAACAGCACACAGTTAACCCTTTGATCGCCCCAGATGTTAACCCCTTCCTGCCCAGTGCCATTAGTACAGTGTCAGTGCTTTTTATTAGCACTGATCACTGTATTGGTGTCACTGGGGATGTCAGTGGCAGTTAGTCAGTTCCCCCCGGGGTCAGAATGCCCACCGCAGTCCTTCAATAAATCGCTGATCGCCGCCATTACTGGCATTAAAGGAAAAAAAACAGTATCTATACCGCCATTTTGTAAACGCTATAACTTTCACGTAAACAAATGAATTTACACGTATTGGGATTTTTATTTTAGCAAAAAATGTCGCAGAATACATTTTGGCCTAAATTTATGATGAAATTTTGATTTTTTTAATTTTTTTACTGGATATGTTTTATAGCAAAAGGTCAAAAATATCGTTTTTTTTCTCAAAATTGTCGGTCTTTTTTCGCTTATAGCGCAAAACATAAAAAAGGCGATCAAATACCACCGAAAGAAAGCTCTATTTGTGGGGGGAAAAAAAGGACATAAATTTCATTCGGGTGCAACGTCGCATGATCGTAAAGTAACGCTGCACCGTATCACGAGAAATGGCCTGGTCAGAAGGGGGGTAAATCCTCTGGAGGGCAAGTGAAAACCACACATGTCGTCAGTTGTAAACAGGATTGCAGATCAGGATTAGGATTGCAGTTCAGGATCAGGATTGCAGTTCAAGATCAGGATTGCAGTTCAGGATCGGGATCGCAGTTCAGGATCGGGATCGCAGTTCAGGATCGGGATCGCAGTTCAGGATCGGGATCGCAGTTCAAGACCAGGATTGCAGTTCAGGATCGGGATTGCAGTTCAGGATCGGGATTGCAGTTCAGGATCGGGATTGCAGTTCAGGATCGGGATTGCAGTTCCGGATCGGGATTGCAGTTCCGGATCGGGATTGCAGTTCCGGATCGGAATTTCAGTTCAGGATCGGGATTTCAGTTCAGGATCGGGATTTCAGTTCAGGATCGGGATTGCAGTTCAGGATCGGGATTGCAGTTCAAGACCGGGATTGCAGTTCAGGATCGGGATTGCAGTTCAGGATCGGGATTGCTGTTCAGGATCGGGATTGCTGTTCAGGATCGGGATTGCAGTTCAGGATCAGGATTGCAGTTCAGGATCACGATTGCAGTTCAGGATCACGATTGCAGTTCAGGATTAGGATTGCAGTTCAGGATCAGGTTTCAGCAGAGTTTGCTCTTTCCCTCCCCTCCTTCTCCGCACCTCAGCAAAACAAAAAAGCCTTGCAAAACCACATCCAAACTGGTCCTGAAGCTGTGAATAGTACAATCTGCAACTAAATCACAAAAACCGGTCCTAAACCGCGGAACAAGTAGACCGCACTGAAACCGGACCTTGAAATCCGGAATGGACATGGCACTGACTTTTCGCTTCCACGTTTGTTATCAGCTGCTGCAGATGCCATTTACTTTGACACATGATCCCAGGTCCATTATGCCAGTGCTGGCTTCAGATGTGACAACTTACCAGCTTTGAGCCAATTCTTCAGTTTTCTGGCAGTGCTGTTTCATAGAGATTGTGGCTGTCTTTGAACGCTAACTAGTGAATAGGTAATAAATCTGCTTGATAATAAACTTTTTTGTTCTCTGTCTTTATTGATGTTCTGACTGCCTGCCTAATTTTTTGGAGTCCTAAAATGCCAGAACAGTATAAACAAGAGAAGATAAACACATCAAGGTATTTGGTGATTTTAGTTATGAGTATTTTGAAATTTAAATTTTTTCCAAAATTTTGGGGTCTTTTTTTTGGAGGCCCTGAAGTGCCTGGACAGTAGAAAAACCTGCAAACATGACCACATTTTGGAAGCAGCCACCCCAATGTATTTGCTGAAAGCCATGGTGGGTCTTTTTAAGGTCTCCGTTTATGCCACAAACTTTTGGAAAATAAAGAAAATGATTCTATTTTTTACACAAAGTTGTCATTTTAAAGCGCCCAAAAGGGGAAGTTCTGCTTTAAAGACTGCTCCCCATTAAGGATTGGCACCTTTCGGGGGCGGGAGCGGGTACTTGAATTTGCCAGGTACCCACTCCCACTTCTGGTCCAATCTACTAAGCGATCGGAAGCGGAAGGTGTCCTCCCTGCCTCCCTGTATGTGTTTTAGGACATGTGACAGGTCCCAGAAGACTACAGGACCATTCATGAAGCGCAGCGCTTCTCGCGCATGCGCAGTGGGTACCCGGCTGTGAAGCAGCAAGCTATCACAGCCGGGTACCCACACTGAAGATGTCGGCCTTCTGGAATACAGGATGGCCAGTGAAACGGACTGTGGAGGACACACCACTCAGTAATTTTTCTTACTAAGGGACCGAGGGACAGGTGAGTGGCTACTGTTTTTTTAAAAGTCAGCAGCTACAGTTTTGATAGGGTGAGTGGAACTCTGCTTTAATAATCAAATATATTTTTCACACAGTATGGGCATACTTAGATTTACACCCTAAAACACATTCTCCTACTTCTCCTGAGTATGGGGATACCACGTGTGTGAAGCTTTTTTCACAGTCTAGCAGCTTAGAGGGGCCCAAAATCCAAGGGGCACTTTCAGGCTTTCAAGGGGCACAAATTATGCATCTGATTTGCTGGCTACCTATCACATTTTTGGAGGCCCTGGAGCACCAGCACAGTAATAGTTTTTGGGATACAGTATAAAGGAAAATATGGACACAGCATAGACTTACTTAAAATGACACCTCAAGAAACATTCTACTACTCCTCCTGAGTAGGGGGATACCACATATGTCAGAGTTTTTCACAGCCTAGATGCATAGAAGGGCCCAAAAATGTAAGGATCACCTTCAGGCTTTCATGGGTCATACTGTAAAGGAAATGTGTAAATTCTGTATAATATTGTATGCTTTTCCTATGTATTGTACACTGCACTCACTGTGCACTCGGCACTAATAATGTTTTCATTACCTTTGCATTCCTTCAAGTCCTGATTAGAAATGAGCCTGCCTATGTAACGCCCTGGTTACCAACAAAATACAATTGTAATATAAATGTGTTACCTACGTAATCATGTGTAAAAAAAAAAACTGCAAGTGCGCTGAATAAACAGAACAGTGATTTGAAAAGATGTTGAGTGTATCTTTTTGTGTCTGTTATCGACTGCCGTAATTATTCTGAATTTGGAACCAATGATCAATATGAAGAGAGGAGTTGCCTATCTATGAAATGTCATTATTTTGTTTCATTATTTAAATTAAAGTATTCAATCATTGACATTATTTTATTTAGTTTAATTTGTTTTCGGAATTTGTTTCATGTATTTTATTTTCGGATTCGATTCAATTCAGCCGAAATCGAAAAATTTGAATCGACATTCAAATTCAAAATTTTAATTTCGTAAGACGGTTATATTCGATTTTATACTGTTTTATTGTTTTTTCTATTCTATTCCGTTCTTTTCTATTGCTAATCTATTCGAATTCAAAGTTATTCTATTCAAATTTCAGAAGACAGTAATATTCTTTCTATTGTATTGTATTCAATTGAATATTTTTTTTTGTTCTATTCTATCCTACTGTTTTCTATTCTATTATTTTCTTTTCTGTTTGTTTTGGCACATTTTGCTGGTTGGAAGCTAAAAAGAGTGGGAAATTTGAGTGGGGAGTGAACAACAGTTTTGCTTTTGACTGCTGATTTGCTGGTGCTTGTAGTTGTTTAATTTTCTTCTTTGGGATCTAGCAGCTTTTACTTTTTTAAATTACTTTTTAAATTGCATTTTTTCCCCTTTTCGTTTCTTCAGTCTGCTAATTAAGGGGCGGGGTTAAATGGTTACAGGTGCTCCAGGTCCTATATAACTTTCTGTAGAGCTCACTCTGAGCACGCTCATTCTTGAGCTTGCCTGTATTTTGCTTGTTGGACATGTGATTAAGTGGAGTTAAAGAACCGGAGTTGAAAACAGGAGATTATAAAAGGAGTCTACTAACTTGTAAGTGACACCTGATATTTCCTATTAGTAATATTTATATTGTGACTGGGATATGAGTGCTAGCAGGGTGGAAGGCTTTGTGCAGTGCACAGTGTGCCGCATGTATGGAGCAACAGCTCCAGGATGGATATTGCTGCAACAGATGTGAGCGGCTTGCCCTTCTGTAATCTCGTGTTAGAGATCTGGAGGAGCAAGTTGCAACACTGGGCAGAACCAACAACCTTGAAAGGGGTGTTCTGGTCCCTGAGCAGGTAGCTAATGGGATTGATGTGGAGGGAGCAGGGGCTAATCAGGATTATCAGGTAGGAAGATGGGTTACTGTAACGAGAGGGAGTGGTAGGGGCTCACAGAGAAGGAAGGCCGGCCCTGGGTTTGTGCACCCAAACAGACTTGGCAAGTTGGGTGAAGATGTGGGGGTGGCAAGCTCAGGGGTGGCAGCCCTGGATGTCACTGCTATCCCTAACAGCCGGGAGTGCAGACCATCTGGGAGGGGTGGTGAGGGTAGTGCAGGAAGGCCTAGACAGTTGATGGTAGTAGGGGATTCTATAGTCAGAAGGACTGATAGAATAATTTGTTGCCAGAATTGCCTCAACTAGGTTTGTCTCCCTAGTGCCAGGGTTCGGCATGTGGTGGAGCGGGTTGATACATTACTTGGAGGGGCTCGGTATGACCCAGCTGTCTTGGTCCATGTTGGAACCAATGACAGAATACATGAAAGGTGGAGGCTCCTTAAGAATCAATTTAAAGAACTGGGCTGAAAGTTGAAGGAAAGGACCTCCAAGGTGATATTCTCTGAAATATTACCTGTGCCATGCGCAACTCAGGAAAGACAGGGGGAGATTAGAGAACTCAATGCATGGCTGAAGACCTGGTGTATGAGGGCAGGATTTGGGTTTCTAAAGCACTGGACTGACTTTTCATTGGGAAGTAACCTATATGCTAGAGAAGGTCTGCACCTAAATGGAAGGGGTCTGCTGTGCTGGGGGAGATGTCTATTATATATATATATATTATATATATATATATATATATATATATATATAATAGACATTTCTGGCGCCTGCTTTGGATTCTTTTCCCCAATGTATGACCCCTCCAGATGGGTGCATTGGTGCTGTGGGCCCCTGGGTGTTCGTCCCTTGCCGAGTGGCCCTCTCCCATACTGACATGCTGCTGTCCTCTAAATGCATATCAGCTGTATATAG